CTATTCACTAGGGAGAAGAGGCCAACACCCGTCTCACTACAGCTGCCTGTCAGGTAGTTGCAGATGTGGCAGCTGAAGTCAGACATCGCTCAGTGTATCCGTGTGATTGTTCTGAATTTTCTCACTGAAAGTTCCCACTTCCCTTTCTCCTGTTGGCCCAAAGAGCAGTCAGAGTTCAGCTCCAGCCAACCCATGTCTAACTGGAGGCTTTTGGGTACACACAAGCAGAGCATCCGGTTAGAAAAAACTGCCGCTTAGAAAATGATTCCCTTTTACAATTGCTCAGGCATAAGTTTTAAAACTGGGAGGAAGTGTGTTCAACTAATAATTTTCTTAACAAATTACTAAGCAGGTGGTGAGACACTGCCGGCACTGTAAAGTGAGCTGCAAAAAACTTGCCTGCTCTCATGGGTGGCTTGTCCTTGCTGTCTGACAGCAGGAAACCTGTTGCAGTAAAATTGTTAAATCCACAAGTAATTAGTACATTGAATTTCAATGTCTCTAGGCAAAAAGCCACTACTTTGATGATCACACCTATGTGATCACAGAGGATAAATGCAGACACATTGCAGGCCTCTGTGTGTGGTGGTCACCGAGAGACTCCATGACATCTGTAGGAGATGTCTGGGTGAGAGCACCACAAGGAGTTGGCAGGTGGGGAGGCTGTCAGCCTGCACACTAACGGCGTACATTTTCTGGTCACAGCTGGGATTCACTCTATGCTCTGCACCTATCCCTGCACAGCACTGGGTCCCTACACCTGCAGATAGCTGGCCCATGGTCCTTCTGGAAGCAATGGCAGGAACAAGGCTTCTCCACAGCCTTTCTAGAGCGTAATGAAGAATGTAAAGTTGTGTTCCCTTTTTTAACCGGATGGGGTTACATTTAGAGACCTAGAGTTTACCATATAAATATCTCATAGAGTCTGCTACTTTTAAAAGTGCTGGTGGGGTATGACCAGCAATGTGACATATAGTGTAATTTTAACACTGAATGCAACATGTACCTTCAGTTCTACCACATTTAGCACTGCATGGGTCCTACAAGGGGACAAGCATCAAAGAAACCAAGTTTTGTCCTTCCCTATCAGTCCTGTGCTGCCCTACTGAACCAGAACTTACAGGGACTGCAGACAAGGTGGACAGTTCTCATTAAATTTTATTTTGTGCATCTGGAAGTCACATCCGTTAAACACTAGTGATGTGCTGAACACCACCACAGCCCACAGCATTTGCCTTTCTAACTGAGCAATGGTCTCTAGTGAATCCAAGAAGAGTTGGAAGAGAACCAGCCCCATAGATCTCATTGGCCTTTATCTCCTGCTCTTGTGGGTCAGACACAGGAATGATTTATGCAGTAGGTTCAGCTCTGCAGTCTTCAAAGGTGCTGCAGGGATTGAGTCACAGGGTTCACTTTTGGAGACTCAAAAATTTCCTAGTCCAGGGATCTCACCAGGAAAATACCAGTAGTACTCCTTAGCATCTTGCCTCTTCTCCGAGTGCCACAGCTTTTTCTAAAAAGCCTTCCCAGAGTGAGGGGACATCTGTAGCTGATCGTAGAGGAAGTAGTGCACAGAAATCAAACTGCTTCCTTCCTCTGCTCTAGCCCTCTGCAGATCACATTATCATCACCAGGACTGTTGCTGTCAGGAGTCCTTTCTCCTATTTATATCTGAACTCCAAACAGTCCAAGAGGGATAAACCTGGTCCATGGTCTTTAAAGCTTTCCGAGGGATTGTTGTTGAAAGGCTTGTGTATGTGATGGTTAACCCCACAGTGCATCCGTTGATTTTGTTGAAAATGTCTTTCTTTTACTTGAGTAAATTTTGTGAATAGTTCTTCCAGATCCAAAAAGCACATAGCACCCTGCAAATCCACAGTGCCATAATAATGAATAATTCCTTAGCATAATTTTGTCCCAAGGCATAAGTAAACGTTTCTTCTTGCAGTTAATCTGTCAAGATTAAATTAATTAAAGCTGGACATGCCCCCTAATTCCTCTTTCTGATCTGATCTATCTTCCTTTTTATAACAGCTATTACACTATAATTGGAATTTTGTGTGTTCTTGGACTTCTTTTTTTTCTGTATTTATTTTGCTTTATTTTATTTGGACTCTGAGTTTTGCCATTTTGGCCTTGGTGCACTCACTGCTGTGACTCACGTATTCCACAGCTACTGCCAGATCTCTGAGCCCAGTGCTGTAATTATCGCATGAGGATCTATCATTGTAGCCCTGACTTAATAAATAGCCAGAGCAGTGATTAGAATTGCTGATTGATCCATTCCATGGTTTTGGACACTCACATCTGAGATGAACAGAGGGACTGTGGATATGAAGTGTTTGAAATGTCTGCATTCCAGATTAAATTAGTATTAATTAGTCATTCCAGGTACATCAGCTGTTATACATAGTAAACCTTTCTGTGTTTGATAATCGGATGATGATCAGCTAAAACTGTGACTCCAATTCATTTCATAAGCTGCAGAAGAAAGCCCTGGCCCTTCCTCTGTGCCCAGCTCATAGGAGTCATGCAGATCACAGCAGATAACTGGGATCCCTTTCAGGTGAAACTCATGGTGCCCTTCAGGAATGCAATTTAGGCATTGCAGCCCCAGGGTGGACATCCAGTCCACAGGACAGAAGTGTGGATGATCAAGACCAACTCTCCCGCTCCACAGCCAGAGGCTGGACAGTAACATGCCCTGATGGTGTCTGAGAAAACTGAAGCAACACACAGAGGGGATGTTGCTGCTGGTGGTTCTTCACCCCACAGCTTCCTCCACGCTCTCTCTGAAAACTCAGGGCAAGCCAGGAGCCTGCAGGGTGGACCAAAAGGGCCAGTGGGAGGTTGAGTTCATGAAAGGTGGAGGCAGCTCTTTAAATTGTTTTGGTCCAAAGGCAGTGCTGTGCTCTTCTGAGGGACCAGCCCTGGTCCAGCAGGAGCTGCAGAAGATAGACTTGCAGTGATGTCTGTTTCCCTGGGAGAAATGTGGTGATACAGTATGCTGTGCGTGAGCACTGCACGACTCTTCATGGCAGCTTGTGACAGCTCTGGGAAATGGGCTTACACTGGGGTTTTTTCTTTAAAAAATCGTGGTTTAGAAGGATTTTATTTTATTCTGGGAAGGAGTGAAGGAGACAAGGGAGAGCATGAAAACTTACTAGGTAACTCCAAATTTTTATGATACTGTCTATGCATCCAGCGATCACAGAATCAGAGAATCACAGAATTGTTGAGGCTGGAAAAGACCTCTGAGATCATCAAGTCCAGCCTATGACCCAACACCACCGCATCAGCCAGTCCATGGCACTAAGTGCCACATCCAGCCTCTTCTTAAACACCTCCAGGGACGGTGACTCCACCACATCCCTGGGCAGTGCATCCCAGTGCCTTAGCATCCTCTCTGTGAGGAAGTGCTTCCTGAGATCCAACCTAAACCTTCCCTGAACATGGATGGCTTTTACCTCTAAAGGCTGTATGATCTACATTGGCATTTTATATTTCTTCAAAACCTGCTTAGCTGAGATTTCTTGGGTCCATAGCTCGATACGTGTAGAACAGACTAAGGAAACGTACTGGTTATGCTCAGCTATACTTTCAGCTCTTAAAAATAATCTTAAAAATTTGTTTCATTTGCACAATTTTATTTCCTGTCTTGAATGGGGAAAAGGTTGTGAGAATTCCAAAGTTCTGAAAACTGGTATTGGAGTGAGTATCATTCTCTAGACTGCTCTGGATTGACCCTAAGTTACACGATGACAACTCAAAAGCATTCATTCAAAATTCAGTGACAGGGATCTTGCTTTCTATTCAAAGTCTTGTTTTCAGTTCTTGATAACAGTTTATCCTAGATCAGGAGCTCCCTTCCAGGGAGATCTGAATACTGCACAAGCAGAGAGTCATCCTGCAAAATGATATTTTACCCCTAGAGAACTGCTAAATGTCATCTCATCAGTAGAGGCAGTTTTGGGCAAACACCCAGCAAGCTCATTCTTTTCCAGAGCATTTGGTGCATGAAAGCTGTGCAGCCCAAGATGGGGAACCCAATTCTCACCTAACTAGTGTTGTCTTCATCACCAGGGAAGATGAGCTGCCAGGCTGGAGATTTGGCTTCTCTGAGCCATCTGTGGGCAGAAATGTAATGACTGTTCTTCTGCCTTGAGCTCTGAGGTGTGAACAAAAAATCCAGCATAGTCAGGGGGAAAATAACACAATTATGCCCAACAGTAATTGAGGCTTACGGCACACAATGCCAGCAACCTGCATTCTGTCCCCTGAATGTAGCATTTAACTTCTGTCTCCAGAATCAGAGTACCAGTAATCACCTACATTTCTAATGTGTTTTCAGACTTAGGGCCAAATTACTTTTTTAAGAATGAGTTATCTTTACCTCTGTCATTGCAACCTCATTTGCACATGAGGGATACCATGCACTTACAGCTCTGGGGCTGGAAGTAATTCCTGCTTTGTGAGCCTAGGTTGCTAAGTAGCATGTCTTCAGAGATGTGAGGAATCCTTGCTGTGCTTGTCATGCAGCAGTCTTGCCCAGTATTCAAAATATTTTCTCAACTTGAAAAATTTCTTAGGGATTTCCCAGTGAGGCTTAAAGACAGTCATACATTTTATTTATTTTATTACAAGGCATGTAAGTAAAAACTTGCATATCTGAAAAAAAGATATTAGATAGAAAACAGTAATAAAATTAACATTGTTCTTTTAAGAAACTTGGTAATAAATATATTTCCCCTCAACATTAAAATGCTTGCTATTTTGCACAACAATAAATACAGCATAGCTCTGGCATAGAGAAAGGCCAAGGCTGGATACAAGAAATCCATGTGTTTTTTAAAAAAAAGCTGAGGTGATTTATACAGGTTTGGCATCCTGCACTTGATGCACTTTAATACAATTTGCACTTTAATTATAATTTAACTATGATTTTTAAACAGGCCTGTAATATAAAAATATGAGAGGAAAATTTGTTTGATTATAGGATTTTTCCTTTAAATATTTTCAAAGTAAGAGATGTGTAAATTCATTAAAACCAATCCTTGTAATAATAATAGCAATACTAAAAAAGTGTCTTGGTGGCTATTCTACAAAAATGCAGATTTTTCATCTGTGGGGTGCTCAAGCCTGACCAGCCAACTGGCAAAGGACCAATCCCCAGTCAGTTCATCAATTCTTTATACAATTTTTAAAAAAAAGGAAATAATAATAATAATAATAATAATAATAGCAAGGAGAAAGAGTAAAGGCTGTAGTATGCACTTCCCAAGCCATGAGGGTTCAGGGTTCTTATACTATCATCCAAGGGTGAGAGGAGAAGCAACAAGTATATTCCAGAACACTTCCCAGCATAACTTTGGGTCGTTCTGGTCTATACCTTTCTTTTAAAACTAACAACAAAAAAAGAAAGAGAGATATTTCCATACACTGTGCTGTTCTTATGCCAGCACGTATCATCACAATTACAGCTGTGAACCTAAGTCACTTTGATAGCCCAATCTAATATAGATTGATTGATTGTCCCACGACAGATAATGTCCACAAAATGCCACAAGCTCTGGCAGAGTCCAGCGTTCTTAAAGTACTGATAGGTCATGGCAAGACTTGGACTTTAGTTTGAAGGCCATGTTCTTGTTGTTCTTGGCAACTATTTTGCCCCAAAACCGCCTGGCTTTCTTGGGGATGCTCTCTCTCCGTTTCTGGTACGCCAGCCTCTTCTCGTTCTTTTCTTTGCTGTCCCTCCGGAGCCGCACTTGCCTCACGATGCCTTCAAAGAGCTCTTTCACATTGTGCTGCACGGCCGCTGAGGTCTCGATGAACTTGCAGTCAAACACGACGGCGCAGGCTCGTCCCTCTGCAAAATGGCAAGGGGGGAACATGTCACGAGGCATCACGAGCAAGTGGAAGGCAAGGCGGGTGCGGGCTGCCACGTGTGGGGAGCCAACGTCACCAGGGGAATTCCTCAAACCAAATATAGGCACGGATAAGTCTTTAATCATCCAATGCTGCCTGCTAAGCCCATGATTCATCTGCTCTGTGTCACACTCCCTGCCCAGAGAGGGGGGGTTAATCCTCTCCTGGAAAAGCCCTGTGTCCCCCATCGGCTGTCAAGGAAGCTGGAGTTGACCTGCTTGTGCCAAGACAGTAAAGGCAGAGAGGTTAGCCCCGACTCAAAACCACCCGATTGTGTTATGTGCAAACTCCCTCAAGTCATGTTTAAGGGTGATGACAGCACCCTATACGCACACAGCACAGGAGACAGGGCCCAGTCCGCCTCCTTAGGTCATGGATGTAAACCAGAGTCTTGGGACAGTAGCAACTTCAGTGTGAACAGACACATGTACAAAACCCTTAGAAAAAGGCATAAATATGTCTATGGCTATAGAGACACATACAAAACCATAGTCCTTGTCTTTAATTATCTGAGCCTAAGCTAAATCTGACAACTATATTTCACACAGAAGTCAATTCATTATGGTTTTTGGCATGTTGTGAACTCATCGCTGGGATGACTGCAGCAACGTGACTGCACCCGCAATCTTTCAAAAGATTTTTTTGAGTGAGGCAGAGGGGACTGAGAAGACAAACAGGCATCCTTGGGCTCCTGATGAGATACCTCAGTTCAAACTCTTCACTACGGGTAGCTGTGACAGGGGCCAGAGGAACTGTGCACATCGCCAGTAAAAAAAAAAAAAAAAAGTCTACATTAATTGGGAAATAGAAGAGTGGAACAGCTGTAGAGAGAAGAAAATGCTGAGTAGAGGAATCCATGTTTTTGATGGCCCAAGGTAAGATCATCTAACGCATTGCTGTGTGTTGTGTCACCTACACCTCAGGTAAGACTCTCCAAGAAGAGATTTTAACGACTGCAGACCTTGAGAGCCTGCAGCAGCTTTCTCAGCAGCCTCTCTATTCCTATTTATGGGCTTAGTGGTTATTAATTTGTGTGCAGCAGCAGGAGGGCTGGTTCAGCATCCCAAAGCAAGGCAACAAGGAGACCTCTCCTGAAAGGCTGCACAGTCCCTGCCCAGTCTAGCAAAACAAAGGGTAAGAGGGAATTTTAATTCATCAGGGAAGAAAGATAACTGCTTATAAAAAGACATAATCTTTGGCAGCATAATGAAGGGGGCTAAACTCATCATACATAAACATGTGTTGGAAATCCAGAGGGTTTCTAGCTACCAGAGAAATCACCTACTGCAGTGGTCTTACACTAGTAGCTGAAAGGGAAGAAATTCAAGCTGCTTTTATGATGATACTTAATAAATTTAGGAAAGGGATTATCTGACATGTAACAGCATTACCAAGGGAGGCTTAAGGATCTCCCAGTCCTCCGCTCTCTGTTCCAGTCCTCTGTTGTTCTACTGCTCTTTTATTGCTCAGTTCTGATCACAACGTGCTCCCTCAGCCAGAGCTCCATAGTTTGTTCAAAAGCTACTAGACGATTCTTAATATTTATATTGATTTTAAACTCATCATTTTCCTTACCTGCCACTGAAACTTCACGGCACCTGACAAGGTCACTTTTGTTGCCAACCAAAATGATGGGGATGTCTTCTTTTTGGCGTGCCCTGCGGAGCTGTATTCTGAGTTCAGAGGCTTTCTCAAAGCTTGCTCGGTCTGTGATGGAGTAGACAATCAAGTATGCGTCTCCTACTTGCATGCAGTGGTCTCGAATCCATTCTCCCTCACGCTGTTCAGATGAAACAGTCAGACATTGTTATGCCCAGAGTGGATTTTACTTAGAAAGTATAACACAAGAAAATCCAAATACACTCCTGCTGTAACTGTAATGGGTATGGTTTGAATCACAGTTATACTAAAAGTAATGCCAATGTGGTGATGGTATGAATACTTCACCACAAAGGAGGGCAAAAGTTGCCCCAAATAATTTATTGTACTGGCTTTAGGCTGGAATGAACATGGTCTGGAACACGGCTTGAACTTTTTTTTTGGTTTATCATTAAAAAAATAAAGAAGGCTTGTGCTCCCCAGGCTCGTACTAGTGAGCCATTAGACATGGTAGGGTTGATGTGGGGGTGGGGTTAATCCTGTATTTTCCCTAATGCTGAAGTACGGAAAACACCTACTTTCCTTTTTTTCCCAAAAGATACCTACTTTTGATATTTGCAGTCACTCATATGCACTTTTCTTTTGGCATTTCACTAGAACAAATAAAATTACCTTATTATCCCACATGTCGAGCAGTATAATGGTTGCACCTTCCCCATCCACCATCATGGTTCTTTCATACGTGTCTTCTGGAAAGAAAAGCGGAAAGGTCGGTAATATATTATTTTGTGGCATCATGTACATTACAAAAAAAACAAATTGTAGAATATGTATAATTTTTTCACAGTTCAAATTACTGAGCCAAATTTTTTTGCTGGCTCACATTCAATTCTTTCCTCATTTCTATCAGCACTGGACCCGCCCTCTGTTCATTACTGGTTGTCCTACTTTCCATGATATATGAAGGAGGCTGAAAGATCAGGAAACTAAATGTTCATTATTTTGGCTGATATTCTCTTTATCTTATGTGGGAGACAAAAAATAGAACCAGTGGAAGAAATAACCAAAGGCTGAACATTTGCCCCATGGGAGCAGCAGAGTCCAGCGAGGCTGAGTAATGGAAAATATTTGCTTTCACTTTAGCAGGGACAGTTTACGGGTGAACAGTCACTGCTGCTGAGAGCAATACAGCTAACAGCCTACCAGGCAGTGAGGACAGGGTTTTGTGAGACAAGAGCTCTTGAGTTTTAGAGAGACTGAGACTTCCGCTGCCTCCTAGTTCTCCCCCATTTCACAGTTTCCCACATTACCTTTGATGTCAAGAAGCAAAAGGATCAACAAACCGCAGAAGTTCGCTTCTTTTGTACTGAGGCCACAAAAATGCATACCTAGATTATAAATGCCATGTGACAAAGTTCTTCTGAGTTCCAAGGGGGCTGTTCCCACTCACAATTTCAATCAACCCTTGCTGTAAAATCACAGTCTAACTTCTGCTTCAAACACTAATCCTCCTTCTTTTCCCCAAACCTGGACACATTTCAATGAGGAATAAGAGGTCTAGTCTTGCTGGTCAGTGAAAAATGCCAGGCTTAAGGCTTCTGAGCATACCACCCCTCTCACTGCAGTAATTAAGGGGTTTGTCCCAATCGCATTTGTAGATAGGACTATCTTAACTCTTGTCTTATAAAACTTCTGCTGGTCATTAATGGAGCAAATTTTCCCTTAAATTGTAATCAGAGCCTTTCCTCGAAGCCAGGGATCTGCATCCATGCAAAAAAAAATGAGCCAAAAATATTACACCTTTAAAATAAAATTAAAAAGAGCCCACGCTGCACACAGCTTAAAATAGAGAGATTAAAAAGGCAGACCTAATCGATAGGAGCAGTTTCCCTTGCAAGCCTGGTAGCATGACATTTGTGCTCATGAGTTAGCTTAATCTTTAAGTAGCAAAACCTGCCCATAAAAGCAGCTGTAGTATCTCTGTAGCTACCCTGAAACTGTCCACTCTTGTAATAAAATTTCTAGTTTGCAAGCTAAACTTTGGAGAATAGTTTCTTCAACTGACTGGGCATCTGCATGGGAACATGCTCCATACGCACTGGAGGACAACATCTAGAGGACTCTTTCTCCACTTTGTTACACATAGAGGGGCTACAAACATGTAATCACACTCATCAAATATATTATGCCCAAATGGTCATATTCAGCACTGATTTGCACCTTGGTCAATCCTAAGGAATTTCAATGGATATAAAACACACTGAAAATGAGCAATTAGCTCATCTCGTGCTTATTTTGAAACGGACACTAAAAAAGGAGATATATAACAATGTCAAGTTTTCCAATACCTCAGCAGAGCTGGCCTTAAAAATCTGTCAGTGCTACACTCCAAGAAATATTGCCAGTAGTGCAAAGGAAAGAGGAAACCATAGGGCTTCTCTTGGAGTAGAAGAAAATTGCCTGACAGGGGTGTGCAAAGCAAATCAACTGTATTTTCTGACTGCTTGCCCAGGGGTTCTACTCCAGTTTACTCGTGTAGCACTAGGAAAACTTTTATCAGAGACACTGCAGGCTGAGGAGCTGGTGGCATTACGGGAAGAGTCAGTGGCAGAAGCTGAAGACAAAGCACATCTGAATGACTGATTCAGCGTGACTGCATCCTGGAGAATTTCAAATCCCCCAAACGGAACAAAGATCCGTGCCCCTAGTCTGTGAGAGCAAGCAAGGAAAATGTGGGTCCAACCTTCTTGGTGCTTGTATTAAATCCTGGCAAAACTTCTCCTAACTGAAGCATTAAAGATACAAAAATCTGTCCTGTCTGTGCTCCACTGGAGACTGGAAGAGGAGCCCAGAAACTATCTGTGCTAACACTGGCTACATCACACCAAGGGCAGGAGAGGGAAGAGGTACAGGAGAGGCAAGTGCTGCACGCTGACGAGCAAAACCAGCCAGCCACCCTCGTGTCTTCCAGAGGTGAAAACCTCTGCATCCTCAGAGCCACAGCAGGTTTTTATTGCAGCATAACTCCTTCCGCATCAACATCTTGCATACAGTATAGCCCAGGACTTGGTGCCACAGCTGCACCTTCTGCACTATCTGATCTTTGGGATTAAACAGCACTTTGCAATCCTAAACAAAGTAGAGGAGGATAGCAAGGGGGAAGCTTCAAAGAAAACCCCGCAGCCTGTGCCTTTTCCCCCTGTTTGGGCAACAGGAATTTTCCTACACTGCTGAAGGACCCTTATGTCTTTTCCCCTGAGGGAACCCATGCTATGCAAGACTCATGAAATTAGGAGACGTATTTTACTCAAACTCCATACAACCTACTCTGAGGCAATGTGACTTCCAATGGCAAGTATTTTGGAGGTGACTGAAGGACCCAGCAGCAGCTTTTCTATTTTTCTTTATATATTATTCTTGTAGACCATGGGGCCTTCAGTTGCTTTCTCTCCTATTGCCTCTCCTCCATAGAAAACTGGAGTCAGACCATGGTGACAGAAATGTTGGACTGGCATGAAAGCTAAACCAGGCTCTTGTCTAGCATCAGTGCAGGCAGGAATGAAGCAGCTTCCAACAGGTACTTTGGAATGAAATAGCATGGGTGTCTGAACTGTTCCCTTTCAGTGATTGTTAGTGACTATATTACTCATCTTATTTTGCTTTCTTGTTTTCTTAGGAGAGATGCATGAGCTGAATCTATTTTGAAAATTAGATCCAACTGTTTGATACCTCAATTTTTTGCTTAAATGGCCTCTCTGTTTTTCTGTGCCAATTACTACTGGTAGAGCTGACTGCAAGCAAACACAAACACCCCAGGACATTATGACCTACCTCCCAGCACCTCACAGTCACTGTCAATGCTGTCATGCACCCCCGCAAAGATGTTGGCTAGCGAGGACTTGCCCACGCCGTGCTCCCCGATCAGCACCACGCGGTAGCAATTGCTGCCAGACTCAGAGGAGATGACTGAGTCGGATGACTCCGAGGACCAGCTCTTTCTGTAATATTCGTCGGGACTGATGGTGTATCGCTTCTGTGGGTTGTACTCGTTGGAGTCTTTCTGCACCAGCAGATTCTTCCCATCAGCAGGGATGCTCCATCGCTGCTGCTGCTGCTGCAGGCCACTGTTGTGGGTGCGACGCATGGTAACGTTGTTGAGGGTCATTTTTTACCCCTAGCAAGAAATGGGGAAACCACAAGCATTACCCACAAAATATTTAGGAATGCATTAACACTCTCTTATTAACTTCAAGGCAGCACATCCTGCTCTTCTATAGGGATCTAGTGTGCAACAAAAGAAAAATGACACTTTCTGCGCTCTTTCGTATTTGCTGGTATACAAAGAAATATTTCTAGTTAGCAGGTCAGAGGCTTTTTCCTAGAGATGATACCACTCTCACATGCTAAATCCTATCTACGTTTAGCCTTTACAGGCTCACAGCTGTGCTAGGTACAGCCCAGCCCCTCAGAGAATGAGGTGTTGCTGTGTCCCAGTAGGAGAAGGAAGGGGCAGCATTCACCAGAGCTGACCTATGTGGGAGCTGCACCCCTGCTGAAAATCAGCCTATGGTACAGGCAGCACCTCTGGGTACTGCTCCTCATCCCTTGTGCTGACCAGGGGGCAAACAGACACCAGTCCCAGTTGCTTCCAACTCCCAATGAAGCTGAGCGTATGGCATCTTTCACCTTTTCTCAGTTAAGAGCTGAAAATTTTGGGAAAGCAGTAAGGCATTGCTCACTGCATCCTTACACAACCCTGTTGTCATGAGTTAGGGCTGGGCCAGCCACTAAACTCTTTGAGACTGAACTGAGAAGCAAAAATCACTGAACAGAACTGGTTCTGTTTAGCTAAAACCAGGACACCTGTTATAAGAAAAGAGCCATGCAAGCAAATCTTGCATCGATGAGCTAGATTTGGGTTTCATCTACGGCCGGGTAAACCAAGAATGACTCTGCTTCAGACAGCGGCTTTTTGGCTGGTAAAAGGGAAGACACAGTCAAATCCAACAGCTTTTCTGAGGAGGTACACGTCTAGCTGCTACAGGAGGTAGCATGGGGGGAAAAATCTCATAAATTCAGAGATATTAAATCAACAACTTAATTTACTGCACACTCAGCTAGACAGGTTCAACTCTTATCTAAGTATGGCTCTTACTTAAATTTTATGCAGCAAACTATTTTGTCTTGCTTGGAGGCAGAGGACAGTGATGTCATTCTCACAAGCCAAGAGCTACCATTTTTAGGAAAGTTACTTTGATGCATTCCAGTTCCCAAAGTGACAGTTTTTTAAACATTTTGCTTTTTGCAATATATCTGATATTTCTTGGCTCCCTTAGTAAATAAGATAATTGTCCACGAAATGCACCTGACCACTATTAAACTTGAATAATGGGTAGCGAATGAGAAAAAAAAAGTATATCAAAATATCAAAACAACACGTGTATATCACTATTACTCCTCACACAAAACTGCCTGAAGACCTCTATAAATAAACACACAGGAGGACATAGGATAAATACACAGAAGAAGCATACTCTGCCTGGACTTATTACTACATACGCAATCTTTTCTCTGTGATGCGCAGTATTTAAGGGCAAAATGAAATTGTTTGCATAGTCCTAGTCACATTAACTTCATCAGTAAGAAATATTTCTAAACTAGAAATCACACGCCAAGCAAAGGCTGCTTCACCATCAAAACAGAATATTTATCATGGTTGAATTTTAAAATGCATGTTTTATCTGCAGTTTCCCTGCTGAAAAGACCAGATGAGAAAAGCCAGCTCCAACTCAGCCAAACGACAGAGTCTAACTCACAGCCTGCACTAAACAACCACTTGCTAAACCGTCACAAACATGAACGCTTTGTGATTCCGCCCCAAACAAATTATCAGCTCTCATGAAACAAAGCCAGACGAGTCCCTATCGCACACGGCCTTCCAAAGTTCAACCCAATTTTGATACTCTGTACGGCATTTAGCTGTTTGGGTCTCTAACACCGACAGCAAAAGACTGCGTCCGAACCGGCGCTGCCTTACTTCTGCCAGGCTCCTTCTGTCGTGCTGCCCTTCTCCCTCTCGGCGGGCTGTGGAACGCTGAGCTGCTCTGCTGAAGTAAATCCTCTCCTGCTTTGGGGCTGCCTCTTTAATTCTTTCTCGGCAAACCTGGTTTATATTAAGCCCATCTGATCAGAGACAGGGCTTTTCCGTGACGTGGTTGGCCTTTCCATACAACAGCCAGCCCCCAGCTGGGAGGAAGCAGACATGCAGAAGAGCAAAAACTTGCAAACAAGCTCAGAAGACTTACTCAAAATCATATGATTGTCTTAATATTGCCAGTAAAATAAACACGTTTGGTTCCAGCATGATGAAAACAGGAAAGTGGAAAAAACCAAAATAATACGTGCCACTCTGCCTCACTTGGTTTTTCATTCAAACGCTACCAAAGTTAACGATGGTTAAAAAATGACATGAGTTTCATTAATGCATAAAATACTGTAAGTGCATTACGTGCTCTGTCTGCAAAATACACTTAAACCTCTGCTGGAGAAAATATTTCTTTGGAAGAAAATATCTGAATGTTATTTTGGAATTAGCTTTAAAGTAAGGATATCATTCTGTGTTGTTTTCTTTGTGTGTTTTTAAAAATTTTTTAAGAAAAAAGCTCCAATCTGTGCAACCCTATTTTTCTCTGTCAGCCTCCAAATTACTTCATCCAGCTTCCTGAACACAGTTAGCTCTCACTTCGGCTGCAACTGTTTACAAACTAGGCCTTGAAAAAAAACATCCAGCTACCAATTCAGCGTTACTCCAGCTGGAAGGTGACAAAGATGCATCAGAACACACAAACTCTGCACAGATTCAGAGTAGCACAGTGCTGATGCTGATCGGTAGGAAGGATGAATATATATAGTGTACATGCCACAAACCCAGGGTCTGGTCCTTAAATTTTTGTAATCTTGTAGCTCAATAGCAGAAGAAATTTTGCCCAAAGGAAAAAGATAAATCCAAACCTGCAGTGTGTACTGCTGGGTGATACTTCCAACAACGTTTGCAAAATACTTCTTGAACAACAAATGAAGAGTAACAAACTTTCACAGAACTACTTGGTAGGGGTACCACAACTTCTATAAAAGTTTATGGAAACTCTGTAGTCAGCTTTCAATTATCCAGACTCTGGATTAACTATGACAACCTCAAAACCAAGCTCCTACAGCCTTCCTTTATATTTAAAATCTCCTAGTTACTCTATCAGCCCCTAATCTAAAACATTACTATTTCTTATCCTGCACATAGGAAATCTGACAAAAACTTTGTTTCCGAGCAACGGAAAGAATACTTTTTTCATGAGCCCATCTTTCTTACCCTTCTTGCTACAGGCAAGCAAGTCTTTGACTGACAATGTATCTTTGCTAAAGGGAACAGTGATATGCAGAAAATAACATATCTTGCTATGATTGCAACATAGCACTTATTCCATATCCCTCTGCTGTAAAATCAATTGGTTTTTTCCCTTGAAAAAGCAGATCTTTATGGAATTCTTCAATCTGCTTGCTTTGTTTCTCCTCTGGCTTTTTTGCATTGCTGTGCCTTTCATGAGAATTTTCAGGGACCTCCTGAGCCCATTCTCAAGTTTGAATAACCAGGAGCACTTCTCAATATACATGGAAATTATTCATACCTACCAAGGGGAAAACTGAGCAAAAATACATCCTAGTTTTCCTTCACCAGTGTTTCAGTGCTTGGCAGCAACTGGCTCCAAGTTCAGCATCTCCACATCACCTCTCTCACACATCAGGCTCTGAGTCTCTGCTGCTGAGTGATAATCCCAAAGAGCACAAAGTGCTACATGCCTCTGCATAGGATGTACAGAGTGGCTTGTAATACTTACTGCACAAAACACCACAACATCTGTGTCAGGGAAGGTTTATGGCATGGCCCACGGTTTGCAAAAAGACTTCTGCTATTGGCATACTTAACTGAAGTTGCTCATTTTTTTTGGAACATGCTGGAAAATATGAAGGTGAGTGGGCAGCTGGAGTATGGTGCTCTGCACCTCAGGTTCACTTAGTTCTCTTTAACTTGTCTGTAATTTATCCCTGTGAGTAAAAGAGCAAAACCTGTCCTCCACAGGACTGGAGAGATTTATGGCCAGGTTGATCTCAGCACAACTGTAAGCTCTAACATCTCACCCAAATGTTTAACGTATGTCATAGTAGAAAGCATAGACAGCTGAAATAAAACAAAGTCAGAAAAGTCTTTTTGTTTAGTTATGGTTAGTGTTAGATTAGGAATTGCTGGACATCGTCTTCCATGTTCTCTTCATAAAATTCAATGCAGACGAAGGAAACATGACTCTCCAGCAACCACAAAATATATCTCTTCTGTAAAGCCATCCATAAAGATTGCTACACCTGTGGCATCAAGTACTTGCACTTGGGAAACTTTCACATGTATTCTCCTTTGTGCTGCCTCTTCTGAGCCTATTCTGGTTTTCTAATTGGACAATTAACTTGCCAGGTCCTGTTCCATACTAGTGTCTGCCTGCGCATAATGAAGAGCTCTCGCTCCTCAGAGAACGCCATCAGCACTTATGAATTTCAACCCCTGTATCTGTGGGGGAAACTTTCTTTATTATTTTTTAAAGCTGGGGAAAGACACAACATCTACAGCTTCCTAGTACTTGCAAGTGATAACAGCAAGTTGATTAATGAAATATATTAACTAAACCCTTCTCAATAGGGCTGACTGTAGGCTTGGATTTCCAAATATGATACTACAGATCGATGGATGCTCACGGATTCCCAGACTGCTCAGCCCTCTTGCACTCCTTGAGGGTCAACTCAGACAGCCTGAGGCACAGACAAACCATAAGGCCAGGTGCTGTCATAAAGCACACGAGTGCTTGGATGTTACTGCCTGGTGCAATATTAAAACTCAGAGTGATTGCTTTTCACCCATCTTATCCATTCTCTGCTTCAATAATCACGTCTTAAAGGAATGCTCCCCGCAGCCAGGATGAAGTAAACATCACAGAGTAACAGCTCTGCAATCCTTCTCCAGTCAGTTACAGTTAGACCAGGTGATCCCCAGAGCAATTAGGCAGAAATTTTTCATTGGATATAAAACAGCAGTGCTTTTTAGCTGACACTTAATTGGCCATTTTGTTT